TCATTTGCAAATATTTAACCACCTGAAAATTGTTTTTAATTGGTAGGAGAAATATATTTATATTTATTGATGTGATAAATATGACTGGTCCCAATTCCAGCATTGTTTTATGCTACAATTATATGTATTCATGTCTTTATCACGTCTATTTGCTATTTTTGAATATTTTTCTGTTACTTAGTGAAGTTTATTTTTTTTTCTAATGGTTTCTTTTCTAATCCTTTTGTACCCTCTCTCTTTTTTTCTCTTGCTTGATGTCTGTTGGTCCCTCACTATGAACAATATTGAGATTAGCTAGTAACATCCTTTTGTCCCAATCCTGGCTCTTCCTCATGTGACTTGAAGTAATATCCTTTAACTCAATTTAATGACTCTCAATCAGCAAGCTAATTCTGCTTTCTCTCTCTCTCCCCCATTCTCCAAACATTTTTATAGTTTTACTGCAATTACACTGTCAGAACATACAGCCATTGTATACCTTACCCTATACCATATAAGTGTCATTTAGATTTATTTCTCTAAGTAAATTATATTATTTCCTAACACAAATCCTCATATCAAACTCTCCAGTCACTCTGGTTGTTTGAAGTTCATTGTGCTTAATAGATCCCTTAGGAAGGACTCAGGGGAAATAGTTCCTGAATTTTAATGTGTTCATAAGAATTTGTGGTTTTTAAATAGGTCAGATTGTCTTATTATAAAATTTCTGGCTCATATTTCCTTCCTTTGAGTTTCTTAAACATTTTACACCATTGACTTGTAGAAAAAAAAATGTAGATGTTCAAGAGCAAAGAAAAAGACAAAAGTAAGCATAAAATGAGATGCTATATAAGGAACAATCTACAAAAAAAGATATAATAATCATACATTTGGATGATCCTAGCAAAAAAAAAATTCAACATACAAAAACAAAACAGAATTATAAGCTAAAGTTGATATAGGAACAGCCATAGTGGAAAATTGTTTTACATCTTTCAAAAACTTATAAATCAACAGACCTAAAATTAATAAATGAATACAAGGTCTGAACACAATTGATATGCATGAGCTTGACCTAATAGATAAACATTGAGGAATAGGGAGGCAATTTAGTGAAGTGTATTAAGGGGTATATTTTTATTTCAGATACTGTTTTGTTCTGTTGTAATTCTGTTTGGTTCCTTAATATTTCTCTATCTTTGCTGAGATTTCTTATTTTTCCATTCATTACATTTTTTTTTTACTTCATTGAGCATAGTTTTAATAGCTGTCTCAAAGTCCTTGTCTGATCATTTTAACATCTAATTGTCTTTTCCTATAGGAATGATTATATTTTTTTTTCTGGCTCCTCCAAGCTGAGTAATTTTGAATTGTATCCTGGACATTGTGACAGTTACATTATAGAGATCTTAGATTCTGTTTTACCCCTCAAATTGTGTTGATATTTTTGTTGTGGCAGGCAATTAATTTAGTTCAACTGAAACTGCAAATTCTGTTTCACCTCTGGTTGGAGTAACTCAAATCTCAGTTGAGTTTTTTGGCTTTAGCTGCAAATTGCTTTGTGTCTACCCCATAGGTATGCTTCAGGGGTCAGTAGAGATTTGAGCGGTTTATATTCACAATTTGAGGCATGCCCTTCTCTGGTTCTTACTGATCTGGGATTTCACCCTCTTTCCAGTGACTGTGGTTACTGCAGACTCAGCTCTCAAATTGTTGAAGACTTTTTTTTTTTTAAAGGGTAGGTTGCTATTGCATTTTAGCTTCTCCAAGCTTCTCTGTAAAATGTTTTCAGGTTAAAGCTTTAGAAACTGAAAACTTGCCTCATCATGGCTCCTTCTTCCAGGTTTTAGCTTTCAGAATTTGCCTGTCTTTGTTCATTCTCCATAGCCTTCAGCTATTTGGTTTTGGTATTTTGTTCAGAGTTGATTATTGTTATCTGAAGGAGAGTCAATCTGTCACAAGCTACTTGGCCATATATGAAGATCTTTTTTACTTTTACTTTTTTTTTCATTCATTCTCCACCCATACTCTTATTCCCTCTTCCCCATAGCCATCCATTCCATACTATTATTCCTCGTAGTATTCCAGTTTTTATTCAATACATATATTTAGGCATGTGATCTTGAAAGGCATACAGTATTGTGTTAGTGTATTTATCTTACTTTACATAAAGGCTTTTTTTTTCAAAATTATTTTTGATGTCTAATCACATTGTTGTATGTAAATCTAATTCATAGTCTCCAAGAGTGCACATATTCCATTGTATGAACATTTAAAGTTTAATTTATACATTTTCCTAAATAATTATATCCATCTCTTTCCTGAATAAATGTGCCTGATAGAGTCTAAGCATTTTATATGTCTTTTAATTTACATTTTTGTCTATTTTTCTATTGAGCTTACTGACATTTTATATTTTCAGCAGTAACTTTTATATTCTACCTCAGAATTCTCTACTTGTTCTAGGTGTTCCATACATATTATCCCAGTCTGTCATCTGTTAACTTGATTATGGTGTCCTTCACTTAAATAAAACTTTTAATTTTGAGTAATTGAATAAATACTTTTCTTATAATTTGAGAACTTAAGAAATACTTCCTGATTTGAAGTCATAAAGAAACTATAAATTTCATTATATTGCATTTTCAGTTATTCACATTTAGGTCTTTAATTCATTTGGGCTTTTTTGTATGCAGCATGAGGTAGGAATCTTTGCTTTTTCAACTTGTCACAAGTTTTCCATTTACCCTATACTATATAAAGTATGGTTTTCCCAATACAATTTACTAAATAAAATTTTCTGATTTGGGATATTACCATAAACATATAACCAACTGTCATATATAAGAAGGTCATTTCTAGTGTATCTATTCAACTTGATTGGTTTATTTGATACTATAGTTGTATACTACTGTTTTATGAATATAATTTATGCTAAGGGTAGTCCTATTTTTAAAATTTTTCCCAGGTATTCATAGACTATTATGTTCCACAAAATTTTGCTATCAGGTTTTCTCTCCCTAACCCAAGAAAATATTCTTGAGAATTTAATTAGAAAAACATAGAATTTTAAAGTCATTTAAGGGAAAATTAATTATTTTATAATATTAAGCCACCCTACTTTTCAGTGTCTTAGAGCTTTTGACTCAGATCTTCTAAAAATGTCCTTAAGAGTCTTTAAAATGCTTCCATGGAGGTCAGAGCTTTTCTTCTATTGCACTTTCTAATGACTATTACTGTATAGATAAATGCTATTGATTTTTTTTCTGTTTTGTGCATTTTTTAATTGAAATTCTAGTTAACATGTTGTATAATAATAGTTTCAAGTGTACAATACAGTGATCAACACTTTGAGACAACACCCTGTGCTCATCAAAGGACATTCCTTAATCCCCATCACCTCTTTAACCCATGACCCCACTCACCTCTCTCCTGGTAACCATTGGTTTGTCCTCTATAGTTGAGAGTAGGCATCTAGGTTTTACCTCTGCCTTTTTATTTTTTTAATCTTTGTTCATGTGTTTCTTAAATTATGCATATGAGTGAAATCATGGTATTTATCTTTCTGTAACTTATTTCACTTAGCATCATACTCTCTAGCTCCAACCTCATCATTGCAAATGGCAAGATTTCTTTTTTTTTTCTTTTTCTGAGCACTATTCCATTACACATATATACTAAATCTTTTTTTGCTTCTCATATTGGGTTAGGGTTAAGGACAGGGTAAGTGTTTGACATAGGGTTAGAGCCAAGATGTTAGTGATTTTTACAAACTTATTTTGTAACCAGCTCCTTACTGACTCTTTTAATGCTCATAATTTTCTAATTGTGTTTAGTTGTCTTTGTAGACAACCACAACATCTGGAGAAAAAAAAAAACAAGAAGAGGAAGGAAGGAAGGAAGGAAGGAAGAAAGGAAGGAAGGAAGGAGAAGGAAGGAAGGAAGGAAGGAAGGAAGGAAGGAAGGAAGGAAGGAAGGAGAAAAATGAAGGAAAACCGATAATTTGCTTTCTCTTACAATTCTCATACCTCTGATTTTTAATTTTGTTTTTATTGTTCATGATTTCTAAAGTGGCTAACATCTTTGTATTCTTCCTGACTTCAAAAAGAAAGTGAGTAGCTTTTTCCATTCATTAAATTTTAATGCTAAAAATAAAACATGAAATCCCTTTTTGACAACAGTACTACTCATCAGATAAATTTGAGAACAGTGAAAAGCCATGAAATGTTTGTCTTTAAACCACTAAAATATAAGTTATACTGCAAAATTTTTCTCTCTAGGGCCATTTTTAATCCTAAATTAATACATAATTGACCATGACTAATACATGCACACATATGTACACATAAGTATAGCTATAACTATGTTGATAGATACAAAAAAAGAGAGGATCTTAAAGCCATGTTCAACATATTCAAAAAGGAATAGTCTTATATTTTTCTTGTATTGTGCTTATAAAGTTTTAGTATAAAACATATTTCTATCTCATAAAAATAATTGGGCAATTTTTTCTTGTTATGTAACCTAGGGATATCTGTACCACTGATAAAATAATCTCAGCCTGTGACTTCTGGAAGTGGGGAAAAAATGGTAAAATGTATATCGTCATTACATTATTATTAACATGATTATTACTTATATGTATTGAGTGGCTGTTTTCTGTGCAATTCTTCTATTCCTTTTTGTGCAAATTAAGGTTTTTAAAATTTTCCAGAAGCACATTAAAAGACTCTTATTTGGGATTTTATTTATTTGCATCTCTGTCTATTTCTTGGTTGATATTGTCAGAGCTGTCAATCTTATAAGTTTTTTTCAAAGATTAATTTGGGTTATTTTAATCTTTATTTCTTATTATATCTCATTTCCTTGTTGTATATCCATTTGCCCCTTTTGTTTGCTTTACTGCTTTGATTGATGCTGGGTTGCAGTGGAGCCATTTTTGGTTAAGCTTTCTGTGTGTTCTAAAGTATACAAGATTTGACAACCATTGGTCTATAACCATTGTTCTCAACTATTCAATAATGAGGCTGGCTGTAAGGCTTTTGAAAAACATACTCCTGAGCAAAGCATTTAATGGTTATGATTCAGTTGAAGTGGGCTGCCACATGGGAATCTATGTTCTTAGAAAAGTGCTCAGGTACCCTATCAACAAGAGTTGGAAATCCCCAAATTTGAGTCACTGTAAAACACAGTCCACTGCTAAAAGGACGGTAAGAGGGGACTTATAATGTTCTAATGGTTTTTAGATAGTTTTGAGCAAAATGTGAAGGTGGTGAACAATCCAGGAAGAGAAAAAACGGTGTTAGTAAAGAGCAACAGCTGAAAAAAAGGAAGGTCAGCTCCTGAAAAGAAAAACTTCCTCTTTTTAAAATGTGGAATGCAAGAGATGGAGTGGCAGAAACAAGAAAGGTGAAAAGAAGCCATAGCTTAAAGCCATATTAAGACTGGACTTTACCCTACAGGTAATGACAAGCCATTGAAGGGGAGAAGACAGGAAGTTTTGCTTGAGAAAAAAACTGTCTTAGCTACAATGGAAAAGACTAATTAGACAAGAAGCAGGAGTGAAAACAGTCTTCACCCTAGGAATGAGTACTGTAATCCAGGCAAGAAATGTTGGTGGCTTGAACAATTGGGGAAAGAAAATTTTTTTAAGTTTGTTTTAAATCAAAGTATGGTTGACATGCAATATTATTGTACTTTCAGGTATACAACATAGTGCTTCAACATTATGAAACACTCAGCGTATAAGCGTAGTTACCATTGTCACCAAGTTACTACAGTATTATTGATTATATTTCCTATGCTATACTTCCCTGTGACTTATTTAATCCTGGATGTTTGTAACTCTTAATCTCTTTCCATTATTTTACCCATACCTCTCTAGCAACCACCAGTTTGTTCTCTGCATTTATGAATCTATTTCTATAACTGTTTTATTTTTTGTTTTTTTTTAGATTCCAATATAAGTGAAATTACATTTGTTATTCTCCGACTTATTTAACTTAGCATAATATACTCTAGATCCACACATCTTGTGCAAATTGCAAGATTTCATTCCTTTTTTATGGGCTAAGAAATATTCCATTTACACACACACACCCCACATTTTTATCCATTGATCCATAAAAAGATACTTGAGGTTCCTTCCATATCTTGGCTATTGTAAACAGTGCTACAATAAAAATAGGGGTACCTATATCTTTTCAAGTAAGTATATTCTTTGGGTAAATACCCAGAAGTGTGATTACTGGGTCATATGATAGCTCTATTTTTATCCCTTTAAGACAACTCCATAGTGTTTTGTATACACTAGCTATATAAATTTACATTTTCACTCATATAAGCATCAGGTTAATTCTGGGTTCTCTGCTTGCTTCTAATGAAGCACTTTTTTTTCTATTTGTCTATTTATGTACCAGGACTATAACGTTTTGATTACCATAGGTTTACAGTACACTTTGAAATCTGATTAGGTTAGCTCTACTTTTGTTCTTTTTCAAAATTGGTTTGGTTGTTTGGGATCTTTTGTGGTTATACAAATATTAGCCTTATTCTCGTCCTGCAAAAAAAAATAGTTTTTTTATTGGAATGCCACTGAATCTGTAGATTGCTTTCTGAAGTATGGATATTTTAACAATATCAGTTCTTCCAATCAATAAGCATAGTATATCTTTCATTTATTTCTGGTATCTTCAATTTGTTTGATCAATATCTTGTAGTTTTCAGAGTACAAGTCTTTCAACTCCTTGGTTAAATTTATTCCTAGGTATTTTTTTATGCTATTATAAAAGAGATTGTCTCATTAAATCCTTTTTCTGTTACTTCATTATTAGTGTAGAGAAATACAACAGATTTCTGTAATTTTCTATCCTGGAACTTTAATGAATTTATTAGTTCTAATAGTTTTTGGTGGACTCTTTAGTATTTTCTCTATATAGTAACATAGCATCTGGAAATAGTGACAGCTTTACTTCTTCCTTACTAATTCTTGGATTGCAGTTTCTTACTCTTGTCTGATTGCTGTGGCTGGGATTTCCATACTCTTTTGAATAAAACTGGTTAGAATGGACATCCTTGTCTTGTTCCTGATCTTAGAGTAAAAGTTTTATTTTTCACCATTCAGTATGAAGTAGGTGTGAGTGTGTCACATTTGGCTTTTCTTATGTTGAGGTATGTTTCTCCTATACCTACTTTATTCAGACTTTTTATCATGAACAAATGTTGAATTTTGTCAAACGCTTTTTTTCTGCATCTATTGAGATGATAATATGGTTTTTATTCATTATATTAATTTGGTGTATCACACTGACCAGTTGTGGCTCTTGAATCATTTGATTTTTGTATTCCTGAAACAAATCCCAGTTGATCATGGCAAACGATGCTTTTAATGTATTGCTGAATACAGTTTACACATATTTTGTTGATGATTTTTACATCTGTGTCATCAGGGATTTTGCCCTATAATTTTTTTCACTTATAGTGCTGTCTGGTTTCATATCAGAGTAACTCTTACCTCATAGGATGATGTAGAAGCACTCTTTCCTCTTCTATTTTTTAAACTGTGAGAAAGATAGTATTTTTTTAATGTTTGGTAGAATTCACCTGTGAATCCATTCGGTCTTAGACTTTTGAGGAGAGTTTTATATTCAGTTTTATTGGATTCAGGATTTATTGCTAGGATATAGTTTTATTGTAGGATTCAGTTTTATTGCTGGTAGTCAGTCTGTTCAGATTTTCTTTCTTCTTGATTTATCTAGGAAGATTTTCTAGTAATTTATCCATTCTACTTTGTCCAATTTGTTGGTGTATAATTTTTCATAGTAGTCTCTTACAATCCTCTGGTTATGTTGCAACTTTTCTTTGACTTCTGATTCTATTTAAGCCCATTTCTTCCTTCCCTCCCTCCTTCTCTCTTTCTTCTGGGAAAGTTTTATTTAGTTATACCAATTACTGAAATCATTGAGTTATTATAGTGATAGTTGTATGATAATCTACTAAAATACCATTTTAATATTGCTTATCACTATTATAATTCTTTCTCATAGCATGCCTTTAAAGGATTTTCAACTATAGTTGATACACAATATGTTACATTAGTTTCAAATGTACTTCTCCAAATATTATGCTATATGCAACACACAAGTCTGGCTAATGGTTTAGCAATTCTGCTTCTTCTCAAAGGGCCAGCTATTGGTTTCTTTGACTTTTTTTTTTTTTTAGTATTTACTTCATTTATATCTACTGTAACTTTTGTTATCATTTCCTTCCTTTTACTAACTTCAGGGTTTATTTCTTGTCTTCTAGTTTCTTTAGGTCTAAGGTGAGATTGTTAAAGATTTTTCTTGTTTCTTGTGGTAGGTTTGTATTGCTATAAAATTTCCTTTTAGAACTGCTTTTACTGCATCCCAAATATTTTGAAAGATTGTGCTTCCTTTTTCATGTCTCAAAGTAGTTTTTTCATTCACTCTTGATTTCTTCCTTGACCCATTAGTTTTTTAGTGGCATGTGTTCTGATTCCTCCCAAATTGTTTTTTTGTAATTAATTTCTAGTTTCACAGCACTGTGTTCAGAATACATACTTGATATGATTTCAATCTTTCTTATTTTTTAACAATCTTATTTATTTGAGAGAGAGAGAGAGAGAGAAAGAAAGAAAGAAAGAAAGAAAGAAAGAAGAAAGAAAGAAAGAAAGAAAGAAAGAAGAAAGAAAGAAAGAAAGAAAGAAAGAAAGAAAGAAAGAAAGAAAGAAAGAAAGAAAGAAAGAAAGAAAGAACACGCAAGCATGAGCTGAGGGGAGCGGGGAGGCAGAAGCAGATTTCCCACTGACCAGGGAGCCTGAACTGAGCTGAAGGCAAACCCTTAACTGACTGAGCTACCCAGGTACCCCTTGAATTTATTGAGACTTGTTTTGTAGCCTAACATATGATGTATCTTAGAGAATGTCCCATGTCCACTTAAAACAGATGTGTATACTACTGTTTTGGATGGAATGTTCTTATATCTTGAGTTTATCTGGTCTAATGTGTCATTCAAACCCATAGTTTCCTTATTGACTTTCCGAATGATCTATCAATTGATGTAAGTGGGATGTTAAGTTAATCCACTAGTACCATATTACTGTCAGTTTCTCCCTTTATGATTGTTAATAGTGCTTTACATATGCAGGTACTCCTATGTATGTATGTAGATGTATGTATGTAGATGTTTATAGTTCCTATATCCTCTTGTTAGAATGATCCCTTATCATTATGTTATTCTCTTGTCTTTTGTTACATTATTTGTTTTAAAGCCTATTTTGTCTAGGGGCACCTGGGTGGCTCAGTTGGTTGAGCATTCAACACTTGATTTTCACTCAGGTCATTATCTCAAGCTCCTGGGATCAAGCCCCTCATAGGGCTCCACACTCAGTGCAGAGGCTGCTTGAAAATTCTCTCACTCTCTGCCCCTCCCCCACTTGTGTATTCTCTCTCAAATAAATAAATGAATCTTTAAATTCTATTTTATCTAAATATTGCTACCTCAGCTTTTTTATTCCTCACATCCATTTGCCTGGAAAAATCTTTCTACCCCTCTATTTTCAGTCTGTGGATCTTAAAATATGAAGTGGGTCTCTTTTAGGCAGCATACAGATGGGTCTTATTTTTTATACATTCAGTAACCCTATGTTTTTTGGTATTTTCAGGGTTTTTTTTTAAGATTTTATTTACTCATGAGAGACACACAGAGAGGCAGAGACACAGGCAGAGGGAGGAGAAGCAGACTCCATGCCAGAGCCTGATGCAGGACTCAATCCCTAAACTCCGGGATCTCGCCCTGAGCTGAAGGCAGACACCCAACCACTGAACCACCCAGGTGTCCCAACCCTGTGTTTTTTTATTAGAGCATTTAGCCCACATGGATTTCATGTAATTATTGATAAGTATGTACTTATTTGCCAATTTGTTTTGTGGCTGCTTTTATAGTTTTTTACTGAATCATTTCTCCTCTTGCTCTCTTCCCTGGTGATTTGATGAATTTCTTTAGTGTTATGCATGGATAACTTTCTATTTTATATCTATTATCATTTTTTTGTACCATGAAGTTTATTTATGACCCTTAAGTATATTGTAATCTATGTTAGGTTGTGCTTGCTCAATTTCCAATACATTCTACAATACCATTTTTATTCCTACCCACGTTTTGTGTATAAAACATACTTTACATCTTCTTTATCCTCATTCTATGTTTTTCTAATTGCTAAAATGCAGTTGACATAAAATATTGTATTAATGTCAGACATACCACATAGTGATCAACAATTCTGCACATGATGCAATACTTCCCATGATAAGAATAGTTACCATCTATTACCATGTAATATTACATTACTGACTGTATTCCCTATACTATGATTTTTTTTGTGTAACTTATTTTATAACTGGAAGTTCATAAATTTTAATCTGCTTCATCTAATTTTGCATCCACATAGCCCAACCTCTTTGGCAACCATCAGTTTGTTCTCCGTATTTATGAGTCTGTTTCTGGTTTTCTTTGTTTTGTTGCTATTTAATTCATTATATAGTGAAATCATGTAGTGTTTATTTTCCTTTGAGTTATTTTATTCAACATGGCCTGGATCTAGAGTATATTATGCTATCATGAATGGCAAGATTTCATTCTTTTTATGGCTGAGTTATTCTCCATTGTATTTATATGCAACACATCTTCCTAATACATTCACCTATTGATGAACAGTTGGATTGCTTCCATACCTTGGTTTATGTAAATAAGTTTCAGTGAACATAGTAGTGCATATATCTGTACAAATTAGTGTATTTTTTCCTTTGGGTAAATACCCAAAAATGAGTTTACAGGATCATATGGTATTTTTTTAATTATTTGAGGCACTTCTATATTGTTTTGTATGGTGGTGGCTGCAACAATTTACATTTCTACCAACAGTGTACAAGGATTCCTTTACTACATTCTCACCAACACTTGTTATGTGTCTTTTTCATAATAACCATTTTGATAGAATGATTATTAAACTGATAAACTGTGGTAAAAAGTTTACTGTGGTAAACAATCAGATGTGATATATGATTGTGGTTTTGATTTGCATTTCCCTGGTGATTAGCAATGTTGAGCACTTTTATATTTGTCTGTTGGCCATCTGTATGTCTTTTTCAGAAAAATGTTTACTCAGGTCCTCTGCCCATTATTTAATCTTTTTTTTTGGTGGTGGAGGGGAGTGAGTTTATGAGTTCTTTATATCCTTTCATACACTCTTTATCAGATCCTTTACAAATAATTTCTCTCAGTAGGTTGCTTTGTCTCGTTCTCATTGATGATTTCGCTCACTGTGAAAAATCTTTCTGCTTGGTGTAATACCAATATTTTGCTTTTGTTCCTCTTGCCTGGGGAAACAAATAGAAAATTGTTGCTAATACTAATAACCAAGAGAATACTGCCTATGTTTTCTTTTAGAAATTTATGGTTCTAGGCCTCCAATGTAGGTTTTTAATCCACTTTGAGTTTATTTTTGGTATGGTGTAAGAAAGTGATCCAGTTTCATTCTTTTGCATGTAGCTGTCCAGTTTTCCAACACCATTTACTGTGAAGAGACTTTTCTCCACTGCACATCCTTGCCTCCTGTGTTGTAGGCTGACCATATGAGTTTATTTCTATGTTCTCTATCCTGTTGCATTCACATAGGTGACTATTTTTGTGCCAGTACCATACCGTTTTAAGTACTGTACATTTGCAGTATATCCTGGAATTTAGGATTATGATACCTTCAGCTCTGGTCTTTCTCGAGATTGCTTTGGCAATTTAGAGACTTTTGTGCTTCCATACAAATTTTAAGATTTGTTTCACTTCTGTGAAAAGTACTATTGGTATTTTTATTGGGATGCCATTGAATCTTTACATTGCTTTGGGTAGTATGAATATTCTAATATCAATTCTTCCAATCCATGAGCATGGTATGTCTTTCCATTTATGTTGTCTTCAATTTCTTACATAAATATAGTCAGTTTTCAAGCTATGGATCTTTTTGCTTGCTTGATTATATTTATTTGTAGATAGTTTATTCTTTTTGATGCAGTTGTAAGTGGGATTGTCTTAAATTTTTTTCTCCCACTTTATTATTAGTGTATAGAAATGAAACAGATTTCTGTAACTAATTTTCTATCCTGCACCTTTAATGAGTTCATTTATCCTAATCTTGGGGTCCCCCCCCAGTGTCTTACTATTTCCTCTATACAGTTATATGTCATCTGGAATTAGTTATGGTTTTGCTTCTTCCTTACCAATTTGGATGCATTTTATTTCTTTTTCTTTTCTGATTGTTGATGAATTTCCAATGTAAGTGGTGAGAGTGGACATTTGCGTCTTCTTCCTGATCTTGAAGGAAAAGCTTCACCTTTGAGTACGTTAGATGTGGGCCTGTCATATATGACCTTTATGATGTTGAGGTATGGTCCCTCTATATCTGCTTTGCTGAGAATTTTTATTGTGAACAAATGTCAAATTTTGACAAATGCTTTTTCTGCATATATTGAAATGATCATATTTTTTATGGTTTTTGTTGTTAATGTGATATATCACATGGATTAATTGCGGAAATTAACTCATCCTTGCATCCCTGGAATAAATCCAATTTGTTCCTGGTAAATGATGCTCCTAATGTATTATTGAATTCAGCTCATATTTTGTCAAGAATTTTGGCATCTCAGTGAAAAACCAAGACACCTGCACCCCAATGTTTATAGCAGCAATGTCCACAATAGCCAAACTGTGGAAGCAGCCTCGGTGTCCATCGAAAGATGAATGGATAAAGAAGCTGTGGTCTATGTATACAATGGAATATTATTTGGCCATTAGAAATGACGAATACCCACCATTTGCTTCGATGTGGATGGAACTGGAGGGTATTATGCTGAGTGAAGTAAGTCAATCAGAGAAGGACAAACATTATATAGTCTCATTCATTCAGGAAATATAAAAAATAGTGAAAGGGATTAAAGGGTAAAGGAGAGAAAATGAGTGGGAAATATCAGTGAGGGAGACAGAACATGAGAGACACCTAACTCTGAGAGACAAACAAGGGGTAGTAGAAAGGGAGGTGGATGGGGGGGTGGGATGACTGGGTGACAGGCACTGAGGAGGGCACTTGACAGGATGAGCACTGGGTGTTATGCTATATGTTGGCAAATTGAATTCCACTAAAAAAATACACACAGGCACACAAAGAATTTTGGCATCTATGTTTATTAGAGGTATTATGGAGTTTTGGGGCTTTGTAATGTCTTTGGTTTTGGTATCAGAGTAATGCTAGCATCATAGAATAAATTTGGAAGCATTCCTTTCTCTTTCATTTTTTTTGGAATATTTTGTAAAGGATAAGTATTAATCCTTCTTTAAATATTTTGTAGGATTATCCTCTGAAGCCATCTGGTTTTGAACTTCTGTTTTTTGGGAGACTTTTTGATTATCAATTCAATTTTGTACTAATAACCAATCCATTTTGATTGTCTGTTTTTATTAATTGAGTCTTGGAAGATTGTATTTTTATAGAAAATTTTTCCATTTATTCTAGTTTCTCCAATGTTTGTCATGTAGATTTTCATAGTAGTCCCTTATACTCCTTTATTTTTCTGTGGTGTTGGGTGTTACTTCTCCTCTTTATGATTTCATTTATTAAAGTCCTCCCTCTTTTTTCTTGATGAGTCTGGCCAATGGCTTGTCAATTTTATCTTTTCAAAGAACCAGCCCTTAGTTTCATTTATCTTTTCTATTGTTTTATTTTTCAGTCTCTATTACTTTCTTTCTTCTACTAACTTTTTTTCCTTTTTCTAATTCCTTTAGGTGTAAGGTTAGATTGTTTGAGATTTTTCTTGTTTTTTTACAGTAAGCCTGTGTAGCTATAAAATTCCCTCTAGGAACTGCTCAATAACTAAAACATTTTGTTTTCATTTTCATTTGTCTCCCAGCATTTTTTAAATTTCCTCTTGGATTTCTTTCTTTACCTATTGATTATTTAGTAACATGTTGTTTAGCCTCCACTTGTTTGAGTTTTTTCCCAGTTTTTTCATTATGATTGATTTCTAGTTTCATCTTTTGTAGTCTAGAAAGACAGTTGAAATGATTTTATTCTTCTTGAATTTATTGAGAATTATTTTGTAACCCAACATGTGCTGTATCTGAAAAGAAAGTGTACTCTGCTGTCTTGGGGTAGAATATTCTATACATAACTCTTAAGTCCATCTGGTCTAATCCGTCATTCAGAGCCACTGTTTTGAGGTTGTTTTTGTTTGTTTTTTTATTTACTTTTCTTGATCTATCCATGATCCTGGGGTGGTTATTTATTGAGGTGATGCTACATTTGGTACATAAATATTTACAACTGTTATATACCCTTGTTGGTTTGATCCCTTTATATAATTTTCCTACTTTTTGTTACAGTCTTTTTTTTTAATCTATTTTGTCTGATATAAATATTGCTGTTTGTTGTTATTGCTTCCATTTGCATGGAATATATTTTTCCATTCCTTCATTTCCAGTCTGTATGTGTCATTAAATCTGAAACAAGTCTCTTGTAGGCAACATGTATATGGGTCTTCATTTTTTGTCTTTTGATTGGAGCATTTAGTTCATTTAAGGTAATTGGGTTTTTAAGATTTTTTTTTTTATTCATGATAGACAGAGAGAGAGAGAGAGAGAGAGAGAGGCAGAGACACAGGCAGAGGGAGAAGCAGGCTCCGTGCCGGGAGCCCGATGTGGGACTCGATCCCGGGACTCCAGGATCACGCCCTGGGCCAAAGGCAGGCACTAAACCCCTGAGCCACCCAGGGATCCCCTAAAGTAATTGTTGATAGGTACATATTTATTACTATTTTGTTATCTTCTGGTTGTTTCTGTAGTTCTTCTCTGTTCCTTTCTTTGTCTCTTGCTTTATTCCCTTGTGATTTGAAGTTGTTTTTTTTTTTACTGTTATGTATAGATTCCTTTCTCTTTATTTTTTCTATATCTATTACAGCTTTTTGTGTTTAGTTATCATATACTTCATATATAATCCCCAAGTATATAGCAATCCATTTTAAGAGGATGGTCACTTAAGTTTGAACACATTTAAAAGCACTGTATTTTTCTACTTCTCTCCAAATTTTATGTATATGATACCATATTTTACATCTTATTTCCTTTTTTTCAAGGTTTTACTTACTTATTTGAGAGAGTGGGTGAGAGAACATGAGCAGAGGAAGAGGGAGAAGCAGACTCCCATTATAGGGCTCAATCCCAGGACTCTGGGATCATGACGTGAGCGAAGACAGAGGCTTAACCCACTGAGCCACCTAGGTGCCCTGACATCTTATTTTCTATATCCCTTAACTAGTTATTGTAGATATAATTGATTTTACTATTCTTGCTTCCAACCTCCAACCTTAGCTTCATAAGTTATTGATCTGTCTTCACTCTATGTTTCATTTTGCCAGTGAATTTTTTTTTTGCTATATTCTTACTGTACTTATAGCTCTATTTTTTCCCCTTTAAAAAGCCTCTTTAACATTTCTTGGAAGGTCACTTTAATGGTGATAAACTCTAAGACTCCAATTCTGAATAATAATTTTGTTGGTTAGAGTATTTTTGTTTGTCTGTGCTTCTCTTTTAGCACATTGAATATACCACACCACTCCATTCTGCTCTGCAACATTTCTGCTGAAGAACCAGCTACCCCAGGAGCTCTTGGTAAGTGACAAGCTGCTTTTTGCTTGCTCTTTTAAGATCTTACCCATCCCCCCTTTTTGAGGTTTTAATTATTACATGTCTTTGTGTGGACAACTTTGTGTTAATCTTGTTGAGTTTCCTGGCCCTGAGTATCTGTTTCATTCCCCAGTAGAAGGACATTATCAACTATCTTTTTTTTTTTTTTTCGAGTAAATTTATGCCCCGTTTGCGCTCTTTTCTCCACGGAGCTCTATAATGTGGATGTTACTATGCTTGATATGTTGTCCAAGAGCTCCCTTACCCTAATTCTCACTTCTTAATTTTTGTTATTCAGCTTGAGTGCTTTCCATTACCTGTCTTCAAGATCACTGATTCATTCTTCATCCTCTAGATTCCCTCTACTGTATTTTCCTTTCAGTTATTATATTCTATAGCTGTATCTGTTTAGTAAATTTCTGAGTTCATCTGCTCTTTCTTGAGTCCTGTAAGCATCTTTTTGACCATCATTTTGAATTATTTGTCTCCTTTCCTGAGGTTTTATTTTGATTATTTGGAATGATTTCCTCTGGCTCTTCCATTTGTTTGACTCTCTGTATTAGGTTAGATCAGCTACATCTCCTAGTCTTGAAAGCAGCAGCCTTATATAGAAGGCGTCCTGCAGGGTCCAGTAGGGTAATACTTTCTGGTCACCAGAACCAGGCATACTGGGGTGAGTCTTGTGAGCTGGACCGGCCCCCAAAAGTTGCTATCAGCTTGTCAGTATGTGGGGTTATCTCCCAGCACAGTTGGCTGAGAGTCTTGGCTGCAGCTACAATAGAATCTTGGTGGGAGAGACCAGCCTCTAGTATAGGGGGCTGAGAGGCCTTGCCACTGCTGTGGACATGCTGTAGGCAAAGCTGGTTCCCTTCCCCCTTCCCTAAGGCAGGAGTTATTATGAAGGGGCACTTCCGTGGGTGGAGTGGGTAATGCTAGTAAGGTAGATGGAAGGTGCCTAAACTGACTCCTGCAAGGCTAGGCTGAAAGAGGACTAGAAAAATGGTACCTCCCAGTACTCCCAAAGGGAGCCCCTACAGATTTTGGCCCCTCCGGTTCTTCATGTATAATTCAGACAAACGACCGCTTCTTGGACCACATGATACAGTGTTTGTCCTTTAAGAGAGGAGTTTTTATTTCCTATAGCCCCATCAGGCACTCCCAGTGTTAAGCCCTGATGATTTTCAAGGCCAGACATTATGGGCACTCAGCTTTTTAGTGAAGTTTCCAGGGCTGTGGGCAGCCAGTGTGGGACTTGATCCCCTTGCTCCTCAGGGAGTAACTCCACGCCTGTGATGTGAGTCAATACATTGGGAATTTGGTTTGTAACCATGTCCCTTCCCCTCCTCTTGTCAATGTGACTTTCTCTTGATGTTTTTGGTTGTGGAAATTTATTCTTCCAGTCACAGGTCATTCTCAGAGTGAGTTGGATTATATGCAGTTGTTGCCTCCAGGTATCCATGGGAGGAAATGAGCTCAGAATCCTTTTAATCTACCATATTCCAGACCCATAACATCTTTTAGAAGGCCTGAACAGTTGTGGGCAAATACACAGAATCCAAAATACATACCTCAGAGAATATTTATGAACAATTAACTGATTTGGGTGCATTTACTCTTCCTTACTTATATACCTCATATTCTGTCATAACTAAGTTCTGTCAGGTAAAAGATATGTTGAAGTAGAACAGTCTTTTACTCTTGAAGAAAAAAGAGGAAGATGGTGAGTAGGAAGATTCTGAGCTCACTTCCTCATGCAGACACAAGGCTGAACTGCATATAGTATAACTCACTTGAGTAGCAGAACAACTTTTTTTTTAAGTATTTTATTTATGAGAGAGAGAGAGAGAGGCAGAGACACAGGCAGAGGGAGAAGCAGGGTCCACGCAGTAAGCCCGACATGGGACTCGATTCTGGGTACCCAGGATCAGGCCCCGGGCCGAAGGTGGCGCTAAACCACTGAGTCACCAGGGCTGCCCAGCAGAACAAGTTTAAAAGCACCATACAGTTAAAGATATAAAGAAAACGCAACATCTAGAAAGGTAGGATGGACAGAAATGCAGTTGGGAAAGAAAACTGTAATGATCCACAAGCAGGAGGGATTATCACAGGTGTGTAGGTACTCCCCAAGGAATGAGGGGTTTAAGTCCCTCATTGAGCACCCTCAGTCAATGAGCCCCACAACATTTGCTGCTTTGAAAATCAGCAGAGCTTAACTTCAGCAAGAGTGGAGGGCTACAGGAAAGGGGAATATACTCTTAAAGGGCCCATACACAATATTCCTCACTCTAAGACCACAGAGGCAACAGTTTGAAAAGTGCCTCAGCTATACATGTAGAACATTTATAAACTAATTTTAAGACATGTGCTAGAGGGCCAAGGATCTTTAGGAACTTTCTCCAGGCACAAAAATGCTGGCAGATTCTACTTTTCTTGCACTCCTTCAGCCTGACTGGCCTGACATAGGTGGAGGCCATTGTATAACATTGCATCTACCCTGCTAGCACCACTCACCCAGCTCAAGTCTTCTCTGTGGACTTACCATGGTAGGTTCTCCTACAAAGAAGATTCTCCTACAAAGAGACTACTGCCTTGCCACAGTGAGGGAAGGAGGCAGCCCTCCATATCACTAAACCTGTGGCAAGGTGTAGCCAGAAATTTCACCCAGCTTACATACAGGTACCACTGGAGTACCTGGTCCTACTGGACAGTAGGGATCGCACTAAAATCTTCTACATAAAGCCACTAACTTTAAGTCGAGGAAAAGCTGACCTACCTAAAACATAGAAACAAGTACAGAGAGACAAAAATATAGTAGAAGGAATCAAAGTAGAGTAGATGATGCAGAACAGATCAGTGATCTGAAAGAAATCTCAAGGAGAACATGAAGGATAATATAATTCACAATAAATGAATTTCAGAAGGAGAAGAGAAAGAAAGAAATAGAAACCTTAAAAGTAAAGAAATAATCATTGAAAACTTCCCTAAGTTGAGGAATGAAACATCAAGTTCCAGGATCCACAGAGAACCCCAATGTCAACCCAAAAATGTCCACACCAGGACACATAACTAAGGAGACTTTTCAAAGGAGCAAGAGAAAAGCAATTACTGACCCACATGAAAATTCATATAAGGCTAATATAGTCTGACTCTTGAGCAAAAACTTTGGTATACTCAAAGTCTTCCCTAACCAGCAAGGTTATCATTCAGAATTGAAGAGATAATTTATCACCGTTTAAACAGCCATACACGAAACTTCTTTGAAGGGAAAAGAAAAAGCTATAGGAAGGAAAAAAATCACTGCTAAAAGCAGGCATATACAAGAAACAGATCAAAAATTTACAAAGCTAGTAAAATACAAAAGTACTGATATCAATTTTATGTAAAATTAGTTAAGAGATAAAAAGATGTAAAATATGATGTTATATACATGAAACATGGAAAAGGGAGTAAAAATGTAGTTCTTTTAGAACGTGTTCAAACTTAAACAACAGTTCACCTTTCTATGAACTACTATATATGTACCGTGATGTTTATACATAACATCCTAACCACAAATCAAAACCTATAAAAGAAAGGAACCCATGAATGACGCTAAATAATCACAAGGGAAGAAAGCAAGAGAAGAAAGGAACAAAAGAAAATGACAAAACAACCAGAAGCAATATAAGCACATACCTATCAATAATTAAATCTAAATGGACTAAATCAGAAGACCTAGGGAGACTGAGTGGAAGGAGGGAGGGAGGGAAGAAGGGAGGAAGGAAGATAGACTCACCTATATTCTGTGTACAAGAGACCCATTTCAGACCTAAAGACAGATACAAAAGAAAGTAAAGGAGTATATAAAGGTATTCCATGCAAATGGAAGTGGGTGGGGGGAGGAGCCAATATAGCTATACTTATTTCAGATGTAATAGACTTTCAAAGAAAGACCATAGCAATAGACAATGGCATTAAATAAAAGGAGAAGTCAAACAAGAGGATATATTATAACAATTATAAATATCTATGCACTTATCATAGAAGCACCTGAATATATATAAAGCAAATATTAACAGACATAATGGGAGAAATTAACCATAAATACTCTAATAGTAGAAAACTTTAACACTCCACTTACATCAATGGATAGATCATCCACACAGAAAATCAGTAAGGAAGCAGTGGCTTTAAATGACACATTAGACCAGATGAACTTAATATACAGAACACTGCACCAAAAAATAGCAGAATACATATTCAAGTGCACATAAAACATTCTCCAGGATAGACCATGTGTAGGAACACAAATTTCAATAAATTCAAAAAAAATTGAAATTATATCAAACATTTTTTCCAAACATAACGATACGAAACTAGAAAAAACACCAATACGTGGGAGCTAAACAATATGCTACTAAACAACCAATGGGTTAATGGAGAAGGCAAAAAGGAAATAAACACCAGCACACAAATAAAACTGGACTAGAAACATGATGGTCAAAAATCTTTGGGACATAACAAAGTGGGATGTTTATGGCAAAAGAGACCTATGTCAAAAACAAGAAATATCTCAATCTCACATAATTCTTTTTGTTGTTGTTGTTGTTTTTAAATTACGATAGTCACACACACACAGAGAGAGAGAGAGGCAGAGACACAGGCAGAGGGAGAAGCAGGCTCCATGCACCGGGAGCCCGACGTGGGACTGGATCCCGAGTCTCCAGGATCGCGCCCTGGGCCAAAGGCAGGCGCTACACCGCAGTGCCACCCAGGGATCCCTCTAACATAACTTTTAAAAACAAAACCCAAAATTAATAATGGGAAGGAAATAACAATAAAAAGATAAAACAGTTACTTGAAAAGAGAAAACTGATAAACTTTTTATCAGACACATCAAGAAAAAGAGGACTCAAATAGTATAAATGAAAGACAGTAGCAACTAACAGCACAAAAATAAGGAACTGCTATGAGCAGTTTTGGGAAACATAGAAGAAAAGGTTAAATTCTGGAAACATACAGTATTCCAAGAAAGAAATAGAATCAGAAAGAAATAGAAAATTGGAACACTGATTACTTGTGATGAAATTGAGCTGGTAATCAAAAATTCTCTCAACAAAATTCTCTCTCCAGAACCAGATGGATTCACGGGAGAATTCCATCAAACATTAAAGAAGACATAATATCTATACTTTTCAAACTATTTCAAAAAAATAGAAATGGAAGGTAAACTACCAAATTCATTTTATGAGGCCAACATTACCTGATACCAAAATCAAAGACACAACAAAAAAAATATATAAGCCAATATTCCTGATGAACATAGCTGCAAAAATCCTCAACAAAATATTCATAAACCATATTCACAAACATTAAGATTTTCACTCCCTATGTTTAACTGAGATTTATTCCAAGGACGGTTCAATACAGCAAATCATCAATGTGATATACCATATTAACAAAATGGAAGATAAAAACCATATCATCGAGGAGCCTGAGTGGCTCAGTTGGTAAAGACTCTGACTCTTGATTTCAGCTCATGATCACAAGGTTGTAAGATGGTGCCCTACACTGGGCTCCATGCTGAGCACGGAGGCTGCTTAAGATTCTGTCTCCCCCTCTTATGATACCCCTCCTCTACCACTTCCACTCTTAAAAAAAATCCATGTGATTATCTCAAGAGATGCAGATAAAGCACCTGACAAAATTCTACATTCATTCATTATAAAAATGCTCAACAAAGTGGGTTTAGAGGGAATAGACTTCAACATAATAAAGGCAGTACATGACAGATACTCAGCTAGTATCACACTCACTGTTGACAAACTAAAGACTTTCCTCTAAAATCAGGAACAAGACAAGGATGACCAGTCTCTTTTATTCCACATACTACTGGAAGTACTAGCTGCAGCAACTAGAGAGGAATAAGAATAAAAGTTATCTAAACTGGTAAGGAAGAAGCAAAATTGCCACTATTTCTAGATGACATGATACCATGCATAGAAACCCTAAAGATTTCAACAGACTATTAAAATAAGTGAATTCATCAACATTGAGGATACAAAATTAATATATAGAAGTCTGCATATCTATACACTGATAACAAACTAGCAGAAAATTTAAGAATATAATCCCAGTTATAATTGCATTTAAAAAGAATAAAATACCTAGGAAAAGTGAATATTGTTAAATTGTGCATTCTACCCAAAGCAATCTATAGGTTCCATGCAATCCTGATCAAAATACCCATAGTTTTTTTCACAGAGCTAGAACATACAATCCTAAAATTTGCATGGAACCACAAAAGTCCCCAAATTGCAAAGGCAGTTTTGAGAAACAACAAAGTACCAGAATTCCATATTTTAAGATGTACTACAAAGCTAGAGTAGTCAAAATAGTACAGTAGTGGCACAAATATAAACACATATCAAGGGGACAGGATATAGGCCCCCAAAATCTACACTTTTATGGTCAACTAATCTATGAGAAAGGAGGCAAGAATATACAATGGAGGAAACTTAGTCTTTTCAATAAATGGTGTTGGGAAAACTGGACCACCTTCTTACACCATACACAAAAATAAACTCAAAATGGATTAAAGACCTAACTGTAAGATTTGAAACCATAAAACATCTTAAACAAAATAAATAACCTAGACATCAGCCTTAGCAACATTTTATGGATATGTCTCCTCAGGTAAGGGAAACACAGGAAAAATAAACTACTGGGAAATATGCCAAACCAGAAAGATTTTGCCCAGTGATAGAAATTATCAACAAAATGAAAAGGAACGAATTCAATGGGAGAAGAAATTTACAAGTGATATATCCTATAAAGTGTTAATATTCAAAATAAAGAACTCACACAATACCAAAAATAATAATCTAATTCAAAAATGAGCAGAGGGGTTACCTGGGTGGCTCAGTTGGTTAAGTGTCTGCCTTCAGCTCAGGTCATGATCCCAAGGTCCTGGGATTGAGCTCCATGTCAGGCTCTCCCTGCTTAGCAGGCAATCTGTTTCTCCCCTTCTCTCTGCCCCCTCCCTCCACTCGTGAAAGTGCATGTTCACATGCACTCTCTTTATCAAATAAAATGTTTAAAAAAATTAAAAGAATGGGCAGAGAACCTGAATGACACTTTTCAAAGAGGACATATGGATGGCCAATGGACACAGGAAAAGATGCTCAAAATCACTAATCATCAGGGAAAGGCATCAAAACCACAAGGAGATTCACCTCACACCTATGGCTAGTATCAAAATGGCTAGTATCAAAAAGACAAGAAATAACAAGTGTTAGCAAAGATGTGAAGAAAAAGGGACTCTTGTGCACTGTTGGTGAGACTGTAAGCTGGGTATATCCACTATGCCAAACAGTAGGGAGACTCCTTGAGAGTTAGAAATAACAGTCAGCAATTCCACTTCTGAGTATTTACCTGTAGAAAATGAAAACCCTAATTCCAAAAGATATATGCACTCCTATGTTTATTGAAGCATTATTTACATGAGCCAAGATATGGAGCAACCTAAATGTCTACTAACTGATGCATGGGGTAAAGAACATATGATATACATACATATAAGAATATTACTTAGTCATGAAAAAGAATGAAATCTTGCCATTTGCATCAACATTAATGGAACTAGAGGGTACTATGTTAAATGAATTAAGCCAAACAAAGAAAGATAAATACAATATGATTTCACTTATATGTTGAATCTAAAAAATAAACAAATGAATAAACTATTTTCTGCCAGATATCATGGAGATAGCAGAGTAGGGATAAGTGAAATAGATATAGGAGATTAAGAAGTACAATCTTCCAGTTATAAGTCATGGGGATGAAAAGTAGAGCATAGGGAATATGGTCAATAGTATTGTAATAACTTCATATGTTGACACATGATTACACTGATCATGGTGAACATTTCATGATGTATAGAATGGGAAAATCACTATGCTATATTCCTGACAGTAATATAATATTGTATGTCAATTACAATTAAAAATAATTTTTACTTTAAAAATATTTTTACATGTCATTCAAAATTGTCAGAGTATAAATAATATGACAATAGGTAAATAAACATTCAAATTCATAGTAAGTAAAATGACTTGGTTCATTTCATTATGTCATATACCTTGTAATTTCAGTTTTGGTCTAGTCTAAACTTACCTATCTTCTTCCATCACTGGAATACATCCATGAAGTCCTCATACCCTAAAATATCACTGAGTCTCTTAAAGGCACCAATAGAGATTGAGCAAAGAATATAGGGAATCATGGAGAAACTAAACCAGCTAATCCCACCCTGAGCTTTCACCTGAACACCACCACCAATGCCACACACAGCACAGCCACCATCCTCCAGCCTCGAGACACCTACTGCAGGGGGAGATGACCTAGACATCCTACTGGAGGAGAGGGAACACTTGAGACACAGGAAGGCAATGAAGTGGTATTTCCTGAGGGCTGGGATGTCTTCCCCATGTCTAAAAACAGGCACTTCAGGAAAGGTGATAGACTTCAACAATGGCACCCACCTGGTCAGCTTCACTCTGTTCTAGGAGGGCCAGGTCTCTATCTTCCTGATGACTCACCCCAGTGAAGGAGTATCTGCTCTCTGGAGGGCAAGGAATCAAGGCCATGATGATTATTTCCAAAGGTGAATTTGTTAGTGGCACCACCGATGTTTGCTGAATGTGGCCTGACCCCAAACTCAAGTGCTAAGCTGTGTAAGACCTCAGCATACACCCTTGAGAAGCCCTGATTCACATGACTACCCAGAATTGATAAATTCTTATCTTATTGTCAAGGAATAAAGCCTTTTTTCACACGTAAATATACTTTTAAACACCCTGAGAAGTCCCCATGGGCAGAGCTACATTGCCCATCTCAATTAACATTGAACATGACCCTTTCAGATGCCTCTTCTACTCAAGGTCTGGTCAGACATGTGGTGAGTTCGTGAGATCCCTTTTTTATGACTCCCACTGCCAAGACTGGCATTCTCACCAAAACATTCAATAAAAGAGGGTTGCCTGAAGTGGAACTCTGTATTATATGTACTATACTTTCCCACGATGACCAGTATTCTCAAATTGCATGTCTTTTACTGTAGACCTAGGTTTTACAAAATATATTCAGTGTAAAAGTATTCTGATAGGTGTTGTAAATGTTACACCAAAAAAGGATTCTTTGATAAAATAAAAAACATCTATATGCCTTCATTCCCCATATCCTCTTATGTAGATTCCACCTCTCAAATATCTTTTGCATTCATCCATTTGTCTCCATACCTATGCTGTTGAGTTGAGATCATCAGTTCATCTAGATTACTTGTCGCACCTTTCCTTCCACCAATCCTCCCTCTCTAATCCACTGTCCACACTGCATCCTGAGTAATCTTTCCAAAATGTCAACTCCTACTGGTCATGTCCAGTTGATCTCAAGATCAGATACTCCTCAGCATGTGCTGCTCAGGTTGAAGGAGTCCATACTCACCAAGTTGTCATGTAGTGATTCTTAAAAGCCCTTGGCTAATAGGCCTTCACAAACTGGGGTATAAGCATGTTTCTCTTATCAATCATGGCTGCATCAATTCCATATCCTTCTTCTCTTGCTCATAAACAGATGCTCACTCCTTGGTCTATCAGTTCTCCATTAAGCTGGAAAACTTCATTGTTTAGAATGAACTATCAGAGTCTCTTCAGGAGCCATTTTGCAAATGGTAACTATGTACCACCACAAATCCAGAACATGTGGGCCAAGCCCTGAGACAACCTATCAGTTCCAAATTCTTTTGCTCCTTTGCTAACTTTCTGTAAAGAGTTTCAGGAGCTCAGTCTGTTTCCTCTTTCCCTTCCATTCTGCTACTATCCATTTTGATCCTTAGGATTTACTTTCCCTACACTTGATTTCAGAGTGGAATGCTAGCTTCTTCCCTTAAGCTTTCAAAAAAATATGCTGAGGAAGTAAAGTATGGACAGCAAACATGGAAAAATAACATGCATTCCAGATTTCATGTAGTCATCCAAGTGTTGATCTGTAGTCCCTGACTACCTTCTGAAATAAGTTCAGCTGGGTTTCTGTTCTTTCCCTCTGATCTCTGATGATGCAACTCATTAATTCTTTTCCTATCCACTAATCATTCTTTTTTTTTTTTTTATGATAGTCACACACACAGAGAGAGAGAGAGAGAGGCAGAGACATAGGCAGAGGGAGAAGCAGGCTCCATGCACCGGGAGCCGGACGTGGGATTCGATCCCGGGTCTCCAGGATCGCGCCCTGGGCTAAAGTCAGGCGCCAAACCGCTGCACCACCCAGGGATCCCTCCACTAATCATTCTTACATAGAAAGTCACAGTAAAGGTGACAATGTGATCTCTTCCTTTTTCTGAATTGAACCTGAAGAGGCATCCACAGAAGAAAATTAAGTACTGCTTGTATTTATTGTACCTAGCACCTGGATCCCCATTCCTCCTGTATTCTCTTTCTCCTTGCTACCACTTAACATATTCACAGGTTTGAAACAAAGAGTGAGTCAAGGAGAAGATAAGAGCTTTGAAGCAGGAAGAGTCAGATAGTCAGTGTTTCATCAGCTAGAGGAAAGAAATGCAATGCACCAAACTAAATACGACTTTCTGCCAGATATTAGGGAGATAGTAGTGGATCAGGCAAGTTCACTACCTTCCTTGATAGAGTCTACAATCATCAGAAGGCAAGTTTCTAGGAAAAATGGAAAGTGGTAAGCATAGCAAGAAATGTAGATGAAGAAGCAGAAACTCTGTGAAAAAAGGTCTGCATGCCTTGCTAAGGAGCCTGAAGTCCTTAGGTAAGTGAAATGGATTTTATTTATTTTTTTTAAGATTTTATTTATTTATTCATGAGAGACAGAGAGAGAGAGGCAGAGATACAGGCAGAGGGAGAAGCTGGCTCCATGCAGGATGCCTGATGTGGGACTCAGTCCTGGGATTCCAGGATCACACCCTGGGCCAAACACAGGCACCAAACCACTGAGCCACCCAGGGATCTCAGTGAAATGGATTTTAAATAATAATGAATACAGTTGCATTTGCAACCAAAAAGGGTGTTCTGGCAGTTGCATCCCAATATAGGTGGGGTAAAACAGACAGCTTGGTTAGAGACTCACACAAATCCAAGAAAAATATTACATGAACTTGAATAAGTGATGTGTAAACAACAAAAGAAGACAACTTGCATATTAGATAAATATTTTGAATTAAAAATTCCAGGACATACTGATTGCATGTGGCAGATGAGAAGAGTTGCCCTGGACTTCAAGTGCTCTCAGAAAGGTAGACAGTTTTCCAAAATGCTAATCCATATACAATGCCCAATACATATAAAATTCACAACAATAATTTTCAGTTGTAGAAATTTTTAAATTATTTTTTACTCACAAGCAAAAGACTTGTTACCTGCATGTATGGACAGACAGCAGGCTAATTTGTTATCTTATGTTTTGAAGGTCCAATCCATGGAAGTTAAAATGGTGAAACCTCCTAAATTCATTGACATCTCCCAGTGAGGTAGTAAGTTTTCTTGTCCTATTGTGGGTAGTTCTTAGTATGGGTCTTCCAAAAGACATTCTTATGACGGGGGAAGTTTATCAGTATCAATCCTAGTAATCATGGATTTCCTGGAGCACAATTCCTAGCAGGTGTCTGTGATGTCAATCACCTTGGATTTTAAAGAGAGAAATCAGCTCAAGGAAATTATTTCAAACTCTTTTTATAACAGATTTTTATAGCTGTTTATCCAAAAAGGGAAAGTATTAGTATTCTACATTCATATTTAAACATGGTAGTGCTTCTCCTGGAGTCGGTGATCTGTCTGGGGCACTGTGCAAATGTCTTTGATGGTTACCCACAGCTTTTGAGTAGGAACATTTTGGTTTGGTTATCCTAATTCTCTGTTGGCATAACTTCCTAACCTTTAGTTTATGCACTAAGCAATTTTATATGGAGTTTCCATTTTATTAAATGTCTTTTAGTGGCAAATGCAAAGCCATGTTACTTATAAAAGAATAATGTTTATACTTGGCTTTAAAATAACTTTCTCTAAAGCCTGAGTTTACCAATAACATCCATTTTGAGATTTACTTCAACTAATAATTTAATGCCTAATATTTATTCATGTATTCTGCAAATGTTTATTAAGGTTCTAATAGATATGAGGCATTATGGGCAAGGAGAAAAATAAATGTTCAGCAAGGTTGCAATCTGAAAGACATTCAACCTACCAATTCTATGAAGAAAGAAAAAAGGCAGAGGGCTTATGTTAAAGCTGTTATTTGACTTAGCCCTGAAGGATAACTGTAGACAGAAAATGAGGAGAAAGAGAAAACTCATAAAGCCCATGAGTAGGATTGCCAGGTTTAGCAAATAATAATCTAGGATTTTAAATTAGATTTGAGTAATTTCTAATTGTTTATGGATATCATATGCATGAGATAAAGGGTAAATATTGCATGGAAAATACACTAAAAATTATTCCTTATTAGAAATAATTCAAATTTAATTTGGTATCCTGTATTTTTTTTATCTGATAACTCTACTCATAAGCAAAATCACCATGAACTTTGTTCAATAGGCCAATGGAGTGAAAGTATTTAGTGCACCAGAGCAAAGGAAGAGGCTAGAAAGAAAGGAAGAAACTAAATTATGGATTCTCAAGTACCATGCTGAGAATTTTAGGGTTTATTCAGTCAGCTTTTGAAAGCTACAAAAATCAACTAAGGAAGAGAGTGATATGATCCACTTTCTGCTTTGAAATGTATTTCACGAATTTAACAAAATGTGCATGATTTATATAAAGAAATATTTAATGCTACTAAGAGATATAAAATGAAGGGTTTTCTTCTATTTATATAAATGTTGGATGGGATGACTTGATGTTGAAAAGGTGTCAAAGTAGCTTAAAACAATTAAAAAATATCATTTGCAGTTCTGTAGTTCAGTAGTCCAACATTTGTCTCATTGAGCTAAAATAAAGGCATAACAGGGCAGCATTCCTTTCTGGAGGCTCTAGAGCAGAATCTACTTCCTTGTCTTTTCCACTTCTAGAGGTGCCCTTGTTCTTCACAGCCCTCTTCTTCCATTTTCCAAAGATACAACAATAGGCCAAGTTCCCATATCACATCTTTCTGACCCACTCCTCTGCCTCCTTCTCCCACTTTTAAGGATGAATGAGATTTAGATTGGTCCCACCCAGATCATCCAGGATAATCTCCCATCTCAAAACCTATACCTTTAATCATATCTGGAAAGTCTCTTTTGCCAGGGAAGTTAACATATTCACAGGTCCCAGGGATATCTTTGGGGGGACATTTAGTCTCCCTACTGTAATCTTTATACTAATTGATAAATATAATGGAATCTTAATACTATTATCAACATACTATTAAGCCCACTCTATTAAATAAACATTAAGATTAATCATAATAAAATGTGTTATATATTTGATATAGTCTTTCAGAGCACTTAGCTTGACCCTTGGCAAAATGAATACCCTGACACATAAATATTGTACAAGATATGGCTTTCAATAATAAGCTTAAAGGCTCTCTTCTCACCAAAGCATGCCAGTACATTATTAGGATGGCTGTACGGATCTTCTAGGGTTACAGTATTCAGTCATCCAGGGTGCAATGGTATCAAACCTCACAGAAACTCAACCATGTCACACTGAAATTTTCATATAATTATAGAATTACAGAAACTCTCTTTAGCAAATCACTAGGGCTTAGCTATTCCAGGATTACCTGAAAGAATTCTTATTTCAGAATTTTCCAATTTTTCTACCATCACTATTTTTCCACTTTGTCCATAGATTACACACATGCATATGACTATTCAGTAGGTCTAGACAACAGAGACTGCAAGGTCTATGGAGGGCTAAGCATGGGGAGTAAAGCAGAGATTGGATGTGGTCTCCTACTATCCATTATCCCTTCCCTCTTTGGTAATAAAATACCGTTATTTTAGCTGGGCCCACTGTCACTCAACTAAAGGCTGCAGTTGCAGCTAGTGGTGGCCATAATTAGATTTTGGCCAGGATTATGAGCAGAAGTGATATGGGAAATGTCTATGTCATGCCTTAAAAGTAAAACAACTTGCCCTCCCCTTCCTCTTGGCTAAACTTGAGATATAATGCTAAGAGATGAAAAAGTCATGTTAGACCATGAGATTGATGTCATATATTAAAAATAGCAACTTGATTGTGACGATAGTATCAAGTATATCCATATATGCTCAAATTCACTCAACTCCATACATTAAATATATATAGTTATTTGTATGTCAATTATACCTCAAAAAAGTTATAAGAAAATAATAAAGTTAAGATTATCACACCTTCTCCAAAAAAAAGAGTTGCAGAACAAGGCAGAAGGAACTGGAGCCCTTGAAACCATGGAACATCATATTGGTCCTGGCCTGCTCACTTTAGGACTATTATGTGAGAGATAAATAAATTTATATTTAAGTGATTATTATTTGCTTCCTATCTACTACAGAATATGATATTAGTACAGAAATGCTATGTAATAAACCTAAAATACAAGGCATTAACTCAATGGGGATTTGGGGGGGTAGGTGGATAGTGAGTGAAAAGGAAACATGACAGGTAGGAAATCTGATGATTTTCAGTACGCCACAGCAAAAATTTTGGTGCATGGCTACTTGCAATGCCTTGGAAGGCAGACATGTGCCAACAGAGCCTGTAATTCTAATGCAACTTGCAGGAAAATCTCAGAACATTAGTGTTGTCTGTCATGTGTTACTTTTTATGAAATTGTACTTTAAAACATCAATTCAAGGGATGTCTGGGTGGCTCAGCAGTTGAGTGCCTGTCTCTGGCTCAGAGTGTGATCTCAGGGTCTGGGATCGAGTCCCACAGTGGGCTCCCTGTGGGGATTCCGTTTCTCCCTCTGCCTATGACTCTGCCTCTCTCAAATAAATAAATATGAAATTATTTTAAAAATAAATTAAATAAAATACCAATTCAAACTAGGTATTTTATACTGTTTGAACTTTTAAAAATGTGGGCATATTTTTAAGCTAGTTTTTTAACAAGAATATCCCTGTGGAAAAACATTTCATAGAAAAAAATAAGACTAATGTTTCCTTAATAACACAAAGGTAAGTAATTTGGTACAAAGACACCAACTTTTAGACCACTAATATTCGGGTTAGAGATAAAGGCCTGAGTCATCACAGAATCAGCAATGTTGACAAAAACTTAACTAATAACCAGATTTGGGAGAAAATTTACAAGGAATCAAGATGACTCAAAATCTCTTAAACAAATGAGAAGTGGTTAAACAAAGCTGGTGACCAAAGAATACCAAGAGGAGACGAAGGAATTAGGAAATAGGAGTTTGGGATCCCTGGGTGGCGCAGCGGTTTAGCGCCTGCCTTTGGCCCAGGGCGCGATCCTGGAGATCCGGGATCGAATCCCACGTCGGGCTCCCGGTGCATGGAGCCTGCTTCTCCCTCTGCCTATGTCTCTGCCTCTCTCTCTTTCTGTGTGACTATCATAAATAAATAAAAATTAAAAAAAAATTAAAAAAAAAAAAGGAAATAGGAGTTTGAGGAAGAGAGAAAGAGATCAACAAAGGGAAGGGCAGGGATCCCTGGGTGGCGCAGGGGTTTAGCGCCTGCATTTGGCCCAGGGCGCGATCCTGGAGACCCGGGATCGAATCCCACATCGGGCTCCCGGTGCATGGAGCCTGCTTCTCCCTCTGCCTGTGTCTCTGCCTCTCTCTCTCTCTCTCTCTCTGTATGACTATCATAAATAAATAAAATTTAAAAAAAAAACAAAGGGAAGGGCAGAGAAAGGTTAGATATTTAACTTATGCCAATAAAATCACTTACCAGAAGTGTCTGTTACTAGAGTGAAAAAAATAGAAATGCCAAGTCAGAATGAAGGCTCCTGTATTTAATGGTTATACATCAGAAGGAAGGTGGATTACAACATTTTGTAAGCAAATTCAGTTAAATACAATGAGATAAATGGCTATTTGAAAGGAAAATTGACTTACCTCCTGGGAGACTCTACACCGCACCAGTGGATCAAATACTTGCCCAAACTTGTAAAAAGTATGTAATTATTTTAAATTGTTTTAGAAATTGAGGTTGACATTAAAGTACTTTTAATAAGATCTCTATTCTCTCATTTTGGTTATTTTATTTTCAACTTCATTTAGATTTCTAGATTTGAGGATTTAATTTAAAATATGTCTTATTCCCACTTTTACAAGAACCGTTGTTTCTCTTTATAAATTCCAATAAAAACTTTACATTTTGATTGATATTTCACACATATGAACAATCTACCCTAAAGTATAGGATGTTCTAGTCAAAAATAATCTAGATGGATGAGTATTTCTTTTAACTTCTTTATTTATTCATGAGAGACACAGAGAGGCAGAGACATAGGTCAGGGGGAGAAGCAGGCTCCCTGCGAGGAGCCTGATGCGGGACTCAATCCCAGGACCCTGGGATCACGACCTGAGCCGAAGGCAGATGCTCAACCACTGAGTCACCCAGGCATCCCTAAATGGGTGAGTATTTTAAATGATAGAATATTCTTTTTAAAAATATTAATCATTGCCTCTGAGTTAAAAAAAAAACTGATTTGTGTATTAGCACTAAATGTTTTTGATCTTCATAGAACTGGAATTTTTTGAGATTTTATTTGAGAAAGAGAGAGAGCATGAGTGGGGTTGGAGGACAGAGGCAGAAGGAGAAGCAAACTCCCCACTGAGCTCAGAGCCTGATCCCAGAGCCTGATCCTGAGATCATGACCTGAGCCAAAGGCAGATGCTTAGCCAACTGAGCCACTCAGGCACCCCATGCAACTGAAATTTTTAAGAAACATTTGCTTCTGAATGCAAACAGACACATTTAGGTTTGGTGGGGGGAAAAAACAGTTACTCTTTTTTTTTTTTTTTTAACAGTTACTCTTTTGTCAGTCTTTAGCTCTACTCTGTGATAGATGAGGGTTATATCCCTCAGGAAACTGGATATCAAGTGACAAAAAAGTGGCCATTGTCATCATACCTGGCCAGCACTTCAGGCCCTTCCTCATTGGCATTTTCATTCACAGGGCCATTGGTGCCTGAAAAACTTCTCAACAACTGTTCCTAAGAAGCCTAGCCACTAAAGTGATCTTTAAGACAGAAAACATCAGGAAGACACAGGTTTGGAAACTTCCATGATTACATTCAATATCTTACCATATGGACATTTTCAAAGATTTCAGTGTGTATTCTTGATGCCTGGGACATGACCATTGTATATGGCACTAATAGTGTCCACCCACATGATCATGTAATTGGAAATCAGATTAACATGTTCTTAAACTACCTATGCTAAAGCATGAATATACAAAATACCTAGAAACACATCTCTGCAAATAATTCTACTTGTATTGTCAAAGAAATTTTATTCTAGGGACTAAAAAAATCAAAATCAAAAGAATCTGTCTGGGTAGAGAGGACATTTATGAACCAAGACAAACAACATAGTGTGCAAAGCCAAGAGAATCAGACATGAATAATGATTATGCTATCCCTGGAGGCTGCATACATGTGATAATAAATGTTCATATTCCTTAAACAAGTTTGGTTCATAATTTCTGTTACTTGTGGCTGAAAGCATCCTAACTACACTTTGTTGGGTTAAAAGAATAAACATGATCATCATGATGTGTCATCTAACATTTTCTATAAAGGGCTAGATAGTAAATGTTTTATACTTTGCAGGCCACTCACCTCTGTTATATCTCTGCCATTGTAGGATGAAAGCAGCCATAGAAAGCATTTAAATGAATTAGTATGGCTATGTTCCAATAAAACTTTATGACACTGAAATTCAAATTTCATGTAATTTATTCTTCTTTTGATTTTCTCCCATATTTTTAAAAGTATAAAAACTATTCTTAAATTTTCAGGGAAGATGGCAGAGGAGGAAGATCCTAGGTTCACTTTGTCCCATTGCTACACCTAGAAAACACGCACATCTGTATAAAAACTCAGAAAATGACCCAAAGACTGGTAAAGCAGGCTGTCCATAGCTAGATGTAAAGGAGGCCACACCAAAGAGGGTAGGAAGGGTGGAAACACAGAAGCCAAAATTAACTCATGGGACTGTCCATGGGAGAATGGGACACCATTGGTATGTACAGGGGAGAGGAAGAGACCCCACACCAGGTACCTCAGGCATGAAGATCTATGCTAGGAAGATGAATCTCCATAACATTTGACTTTTTTTAAAAAGGCCTAACTTTGTGAGTTCTTACAATCAGTGGGGTTAACACCTATCACTTTGAAAATAAGAAACTGAGTCCTTGCTCTTAAAGACACAGCACAACAAACAGTCCTTTTGAGATATAGCATAGAAGCAGCAGTTTGAAAAATGCCTAGGGTATACAGGAGGGAGATTTGTTTACTAATCTCAGAGTATGTACTAAAGGGGTAGAGATCTTTGGGAGATTTCTCTAAGAACAAAAGAACTGGTAGATGATATTTCCTTTTCCCACTTTCCAGCCTAGATATGGAGAAATCTGCCAGAACCAGCACAATTCAAACACTCTCCATCTTGCTTGCTAACAGCATGCTCTATCCCCATGCTCTTCTGTAGATTCACCCCCTCCAACCCAGCATCAGTGGGAGTTTTCCTGGGTACCTGCATATCCCTCCTGCACCTTGTTGGCACCATGAACCCTGCCCCTGTGTTCTCCTGTGGACCCATCTCCTCTAATGTGCCCTTGGCAGTCTATCCAAAGCAATGCTACAAACATGGTAGTTGCAAGCAGCTCCAAAAGGAGCCTATACCACACCAAATAACTCCTGATCCAGGGAGAGGGAAATATAACCATACACACCTCTCTGACTGTGGACCCAGCAGTGGGCTGGGAGCAGACATCTAGACTGCAGATCCCACCCACCAATAAAAGCTTCTTTTAGGAGGATGACACAGAAACAACACATTGCAGTTTCATGCTATCACAACTCTGGCATATACCTAGTCTGACTCAACTCAAGACTAAGGCAGCCCCAGACTGGCCTACTAACAAGACTGGGACCAAACCTTGTTTGAAACAAGCAAAGAGAGCCATTGCAGATAACTGGACTAAAGGCAAATGCAGCTCGGCCACAATTTTAAGGTGTATACAACACACACAAGAGACGCCACTGAAATGCCATGTTCAAGTAAACAAGGAATGTTGCACTGCAGGGCACTGTAGAACCTCTTCTTCATGAGCTGCTACTTTCAAGAGCAGGAGATGTAGCTGACTTTCCTAACACTTAGAAACAGTGAGTTAGAAAAAATAAGGAGATGGCAAATATGTTCCAGATGGAAGAATAGGACAAAATTATAGCAAGAAGCTAAATGAAACAGAGATAAGCAATATACCTGATAGGGAATTTAAAGCCACGGTCATAAAGATACCCACTGGACTTGAGAAAAGAGTGGAGAATCTCAGTGAGACCTTCAACAAAGAGATAAGAAATATAAAAAGGAACCAACCAGAGATGAAAAACTTGATAGCTGAATTTAAAATACACTAGAGGTAATAAATAGTAGGCTAAAGGAAATAGATTAGATCAGTGAGCTGGGAGACAGAGTATTGGAAAGCAACCAAGTTGAACAGGAAAAGAAAAAAGAATAATAAAAAATGAGAATAGGTTAAGGGAACTCCGAAATATCATCAAGTGTAATAACATTTGCATTACAGGGATCCCAGAAGAAGAAGGAGAGAGAAGGAGGGAAATTTTATTTGAAGTAATAATAGCTCAAAATTTCCCTCAACTGGAAAAAGAAACAGACATCCACATTCAGGAAACACAGAAAGACCCCAACAAAATCAACCCAAGGAGGCCCACATCACGACACATAGTAATTAAAATGGCAAAAAGTAGTGATAAAGAGAGAATTTTAAAAGCAGCAAGAGAAGAGTTACATATAAGGGAAACCTCATGAGGTTATCAGGTGATCTTTCAGCAGAACTTTGCAGGCCAGAAGGGAGTGGTGTGATACAGTCAAAGTGCTAAAAGGAAAAGACCTGCAACCAAGAGTACTCTATCCAATAAGTCTATCATTCAGAATAGAATTAGAGATAAAAAGATTCCCAAACAAAACTTAAAGGAATTCATCACCACTAAACATGACGAAATGTTAAAAGGAGATTCTTTGAGTGGAAAGAAAATACCACAAGCAGCAGTAAAAAAAAAAAAAAAAAGAAAAGAAAAGAAGAGAAAGAAAGAAAAAAGTAGGAAAGGGAAAAAATTGACAGCTATATATGAACACAAAAGGTAGTAGATTAATCATTTATAAAACCAGTATGGAGGTTAAGACACAGAAGCAGTACAATCGAGTATATCTATAAAAGTCAATCATTGGATTCACAAAAAAATGCACGTAAGGTATAATGACATATACCTTAAAAACGGTGGAGTAAATATTTAGTGTGTTTAGAATGGATTCAAACATAAGTGACCATCATCCTCACACAGACTGCTATATGCACAAGATATCATCTATAAACCTAGTGGTAACCATAAATCAAGAAGCTGTAATAGATATGCAAAAAAGAAAAAGAAAAAATATCACTAACGAAAACCATCAAACCACAAGAGAAGAGAGGAAGAGAAGAAAAAGTACAAAAACAGCCATAAAACAAGAAAATGGCAATAAATACATACTTAACAACAATTATTTTAAATGTAAATGGATTATATGCCCCAATGAAAAGACACAGGGTGACTTAATTAAAAAAAAAAAAACCAAGACTCATCTACCTGCTTCCTCCAAGGGCCTCGTTTCAGACCTAAAGACATATGCAGATCAGAAGTGAAAGTATGAAAAACATTTATCATACAAGTGGAAGTGAAAAGAAAGCTGGAGTAACAATACTTATATTGGACAAAATAGACTTTAAAACAAAGACTATACTAAGAAGCAAAGAAAGATACTACATCAGAACAAGCCAACAAGAAGATATAACAATTGTAATAAATATTTATGTATGTAACATGGGAGCACCTAAATTAACAAAGCAGCTATTAACAAGCAAAGAAACTGGTAGTAATACATTAATAGTAGGGGAATTTAACACCCCACGTATATCAATGGATAGATCATCCAAATAGAAAATCAACAAGGAAACATTGGCTTTGTATGATACATTGGACCAGATGGATCTAACAATTATATTCAGAACATTCCATCCAAAAACAGCAGAATACATATTCTTTTCAAGTACACATGGAACATTCTCCAGAATAGTTCACATGTTGGCAAAAAAACAAATCTCAGCAAATCTTAAAAGACTGGAATCTTATCATGCATATATTCCAACTGCAATGGTATGAACCTAGAAATAAATTGCAAGGAAAATTCTGGAAATAATACATATACGTGGAGGTTAAATAACATGCTACTAAACAATCAATAGGTCAAAGATAAAAAATACTATTTCAAAGGAATACATGCACCCTGATGCTATAGCAGCATTATCAACAATAGCCAAATTATGGAAAAAGCCCAAATGTGTATCAACTGATGAGTGGATAAAGAAGATGTGAGGTGTGTATAACTATATAACTATATAACATATAACTATGAAATCTTGCTCTTAGCAAGAACATGGATGGAGCTAGAGAGTATTATACTAAGTGAAATAAGTCAGTCAGAGAAAGATAAATACCATATGATTTCACTCACAATGTGGAAGTTAAGAAACAAAAAAAAAAATGAACATAGGAAAGAAGAAAGAGAGGAAAACCAAGAAAGAGACTCTGAACTATAGCAAACAAACTGATAGTTACTAAAGGGGAGGTCGGTGGAGGGGATGGGTTAAATAGGTAATGGGGGTTAAGGCAGGTACTTGTGAGGAGCACCAAATGTTGTATATAAGTGTTGAATCACTAAATTCTACATCAGAAACTAATATTAACTATATGCTAACTAACTGGAATTTAAATTAAAGTGTGTAAGAAACAACTAAAAAATAAGTAAATAAAATAAAAAGGAGTCAACCAAGAAGTCAAAGAGAAAATTTAAAAACACACAGAGATAAATGAACATAAAAAGACAATGCTGCAAATCTTTGGATGCAGCAAGTTGTTCTGAGGGAAAATTATAGCAATACAGGCCTACCTCAAAAAGAAAAATCTCAAAGAACCTATTCTTATACCTAAAGGAGCTAGAAAGAGAAGAAGCAAAACTAGGAAATAGTAAATATTAGAGCAGAAATAAATGAAATAGAAACAACAACAAAAATAGAATACATCAAAGAAACCAGGAGCTTGCTCTTTGAAAAGATAAAATTAATAAACCTATAGCCAGACTTCTCAAAAAAGGAGTTGGAG